TTTTCCTTCTCTTTCCAATATCTAGCTTTTTTTAAAGCTGTGTGCATTGAGTTCTGGTTTCCAGTCGAACTTTGGAACCCAAGCTTTTTTTGAACTCTCGTTATATGAACAAACGCTCTCACAAACTATGCACAGCAAGTGTAGCTGAAATAGAATATAAATAAACTTTATTGTGGCCGTCGGCCTAGTGTCTCTGACTGCTAAGCCGGAGGTCGTGAGTTCGATTCCCACTCAGGATAGGTTAGTGTGGCTATGAGCACGATTATTTGTTCTGTGTCTAAGTGTAATTTATCTCCGACATGTATGTATTTAGAAATATCGAAGTATGTTTATCAGCAGTCTGGTTACCATAGTACAGGCTCTGACAGACTTGACTGGACAAAAACAATACAGAAAAACGACAGCTGGAGATATCTAGAGCCAGATACTACGTTGTTTTCAAACCAGAAGGAGAGTCAGAGACTTAGTGTCTAGACAGTAATGTTAATAACCGATAAAAAATCATACATTTAGAAAGTGGGTCGCCGCCATAGACAATTCTGATATTTTAATGATAATGTGTTATCAGCCAAATATCGTCTCAAATGCCAGACGTTCATACGTCAGTTGATATGCATAATACCCACAGACTTACCTCCCCACCCACTTTTATAGTATTACCCGCCGTTATAATCACTGCCCTGCCTCTAAGTGTAAGTGTAGCGTGATGTAACTTTCGTCGAAAACCTTTCCATCAAATAATTCCTACTAATTTTATAAATTCGAAAGTAACTCTTTCCGTCTGTCTGTTACGCTTTCACGGCTGAACTGCTGAACTGGTTTTAATGAAATTTGGCATGTAGATGATTTAATAAGGGATGATAGGTAGTAATAATAATTATAACTTCACACATCTCACACACGGCAGTCTAATTCCAAACTAGGCAAAGCCTGTGCTATGGTAACCAGACTGCTGATAAACATACTTATATGTTTCTAAATACCTACTTATTGTAGGTAAATTACACTCAAAACCAGAACCAATGATCGTGCTCATCTCACAAATATTTATCCTTGGTGGGTATCGAACCAACGACCTCTGGATTAATAACCAGGAGCACTTAGCAACAAGCCCGTCTAGAAATAAAATAAAGTTTTTCTTTGTCACAGTTTTAATTTTTAAAAAAAGCTTAAAAAGAAGTCAAACAATGACATCATACAGGGAGATATCGTAACCAACATACATACATAAGTATATTCACGCATAAATAGACACATATACGTAGGCAGAGGAATATTAAACCGGCCACTGTTTTTAAATTATAATTCAGAATCACGTAATAGGGGCGAGCCTATCGCCGCCAACTGGGCAATCAGACAATTATGGATTAGGGACTATTAGGGATATTTCAATTATCAAATTATATACTATAACTAGCTTTTCCCAAAGATTTCGCCCGCGTGGTGGTGACCTCTTAAACCATCCGTGTAGTCAAAGATCTGAGGCCCAGGTGTGAGTTTATTTCACATCTACTTATGATCACAGTGTCCGCGTTCGGCGCTGCGATTGGCCCGCACTGAAATCTGCACTAATCGCAACGCCAAACGCGCTCGCTGTCGAGAGCGAGTTAATATGAAATAAACTCAGACTTGGGCCTCTGACTCTACACAGTCGTATCTTATATTCGATCGTAGCTGAGCCATGCTACGACAAACTTGAGTATGTGAGGTAAACGGAACCCCAAGCCCTCCCTCGTTTATTGTGGGGTGGTATGGAATCACAGGGTGACAATCCACTCATAACTCTTACGAAGCCATCTGTTTGTTTTCTCATTATTTCTATTAAAAAAACTCAGTAAAATCTAAGATGCAGTCTGTCCTTGTCATCCGTGGCAGGTTCAGTACAGTCTAACGCGCACTCATCTTTATACAAGATTGCCCCTTGCATTGCCAAGAGTTTCAGTAAGCTTTTTTTCTTGAACGAATATCCAACGTGACATTGCTAGGCTCGTATCAAATATGGTTAGGTGGATTGGGTAATACAGCAGACAGTGGAGGTGAGCGCTGACGTGTCGCAAGGCGTACTCCCTAAACCTAATCCTGGATCGCAATTCCCAGGCGCTGTCGAGGTCGCATGTTGTCGGTGAATCCATGAAACGCTAATAAATAGGTCTACACTAGTATTATAAAAAGTTTGGATAAATCTTTGTTAATCAATCACACCAGAACAACTGAACCAATACTAATAAAACTTATCACAGAGAATGACTGTAGTCTTTAATAGCACATAGGCTAATTTTCATTCGAGAAAAAAATATTTATAATATCATTAGCGCAAGCGATGCTGCGACCATTAACTGATTAATTTCTAAACTAATCAACAGTCTAAAAATGTCAGTATGACTATTCTTTTTCCTTTTTTTAAATGCGATTGTACTTTTACACGAGCTCAAGGCCCAGCTGAGGAGTCAGCACATCGTGGTAGCACGTGGTCCCGAATCAATAGGTCATTAGCCGCGTGCCAGAGCGAAACCACACCATCTGACATCACAACCAACTGTCTCTTTCACCCGCAAGGTTACCGGCTTCAACTTGGGGTTATTTACTCAAATTTTTAAACTCAAATATTATATTTTTTCTGTGGGGGTGTATGCTGTTCCAATTACAAATTCGTTGGATTTTGACAGATTTGACAGTGTCAGAAATAATTAATGGGTCGGTGAGAGTAAAAGTTAATGGTGTATGGCCATAAACGGTAATGTTTTGTTCCAAATAACAGTTTTTATTCGTGTTAGATGTGTTGATATGGTTGTTGTCGCTTTTTGAATATTTAGACGTGAACCATAGATAAGGAAGTTGTTTTTGTGTTTACTGTTTTTTATATCCGTGGGCCTCTAGCATAGACAATGACCTTTTATGTAGAAAGTTAACTTATTTTGTCATTTATTATTATTTTATTTATAAATAGAATTTAAAGTTAGGACACCTCATGTCATTATACGTGAAGTACTATAAAAAAAAGTTTAGGTTCCTCATTCAAAATTTAAAAGATACATAATCAAAATGGCATGTTCTCTTTTTAAATTTCTTTTTTTTAGTGAGGAAGGAAACCTTTTTGACATCTGTAAATCCTAAAGGAAAGACATGAAAACAAAACAGCGCAATACAAAATTGCCTACATTATTTGCGGTTGACAACACATTTTTCCTGGGTCAGTGACCCCTTAACACTGGTATCAAACTGTTTAGAACCAACAGTACATACATAAATTTATTTCATTGAATTATTTTTATGAATATGGATGTTTAGTACCTATAGTTAGAATACAAAAAATAATATAATACAAAAATGTGGTGTCTAGGATTTGTATAATTATGACAAATAAAATAATGTTATAATTTTTTTTTAATATTATTTAATTTTATGTATGACTAAAACAGTATTTTTTTATTAATAGAATTATTCTATAACTTAATAATGCACAAAAATCTATTCGAATTTTTATAAATGCAAAAAAAAAAACGAATTTTGCGAGCAAAAAAATTGCCCGAGAAGGCGTCGACGTAATATCGCTCAGTGATTCCACATTCAAAACTAGAGTTCAACAGCATTTCACCGAAATCTACTTTGTTTGGGTCCCGGGGTCAATGAACCGGTGTGACGCCCGCGCGAGTGTGTGCGCGCGCCGCACTGTCCGTACACGACACCGACGAACGCACACATGCGAATTACGCCTTGTGATCCGCACAACTGTGATGGGCAATTTTGTCTCTTAATTACACTGTAATTACATACATTTTTGTAAATTTTGTAATCAATGTGGAAGGTACAGGGGTACATATTGAGGCACTACAAGGAATTTTGCCTTAAAGATGAATATTGAAGAAAAAATTTTGTCGTAGTCCGCGTCGCGCCGCCGGGGCGACTGAACTATCGCTATGAGCTAAGTTGATTATTCGGTCGGAATGAAAAAATATATAATTTTTTCGTGAGCCTGGCCGAAGATTCGTCAATGCGTCAGTCACGTTCGGGCCGTTCTGGCGTCAACATCTTTGGACTTGCCAGTTGCCGTCGCGAAGCCGAGTTGTGCACAACTTATAGTACAAACATACAACGTACAAATTTTTTCCAGCAGTGAGGTGATCACGTATTGTTTTTTTTTTACAATACCTAGTGACAGTGCTTAAGTGCAACAGTGATTTTCGTTATTTTCATTTTTGAAAATAGAACTTGGTGACGTCTAACGGGTTCTCTATTTGAAATTTAAATATTGTGTTCCGCGTTATATTGGATAACGGATTTTGGATAATTGAGCAGTTAGTATTGCTCGATTAACTAAAATCACGAGCAATTAAAACATATTATTGGCATTTCAAATATTCACTAAACCTTTTCCAAACTCAAATAAATTCTTCTTTCTGCTTTGATTTTCTCTTTACAGATTTTTGTGTTTATCAAATTTTGATAAAGAGATGATTACACATTCAGTAGAATAAGGGAACAAGTGAATAATAACAATAATAAAAATAGTGCCTTATAAAATATTTATTTAAAACAAAAGGAAGAAAACAAAACAGAATCACGGAGACAAAATGCCAAAAAATTTGTTGCTCTTCAAAAAGTTAATACCTGAATTAAACTTCGCTAAAAGAAATCTTACATCACCGCTTGGCCGGAATATATTTATCAGTTAAAACACAAATATCTGGTGCTTAAAATCAACTAAGTTGAAGACACAATAAATTGGGAGTGCCATAGTTTTTCGAAGAAAATCTTGGTATAGAACAATATAAACAGACACAAAACAGTTGCCTTACCGACATAGTCGATTAAAAAACATATAAAAGAAAAAAACTATCGATTAAAACACCAAAAAGGACAGTGATACTAGTGTTAACAGCAATGCGAATTCGATTCGCGTGCGTTCAAAATCATTGGCTGAAAATAACTTAATTTCTTCACAAGTAATAACTTCAAGAAAAAAGAAGAGAATTTTAAACAATTCGAAAATCGAATTTGGAATGATGAATAATAACAACCAGTTCCACGACTTGTTCGGCTCTCAGTGGCCCCCAGACCAACACGGAGGGCATTCGTCCGCCTCGACCATGCTGCACCAGTCACAGGGTTTACCTCAAGGCATGCAGCTGAAACGCGAACCTCATACCGATGTGCCCGGGATGCACAATCAGATGGGGATGGATATATCAGGATCTGTAGCCGACAGCACCTCCCCCCCACCTGGGAGCAGTGATGGGATGTTTGGATCATCTATGTCCGGGATGTTCATGGATAAGAAAGCCGCTAACTCCATCAGAGGTAATTTTTTTTTTGTTTTTTTTTCTATGGCATTGAATACATATTTATCGAGAACAACAATATGGTGGACAAACTACGTTTTCGTCGGATAAGTGTAATTAGACACTAATTGTTGATACGTTATGCAAATATTGGTTATTTGTATATATGCTGATTAGTTCGTAGGTGTACAGTCTGTTGGAGCAAAGTGCATATCTTCAATATAATTTTGGTATCAGCAGATTCTATTGAAGTGTAGCAACAACGACATATAAGTTTACAGGTCAATGACCTTCGTTGACCTGTCAAAATAACATAGATAATAATTTTTTTATTTTATCAAAAAGTGAACGTAGACACGGTTGTTTTACTGATTAGTTAGTAAACTAGGTAGCTAGCTTTTATATCTGTTTGATCGTTATCAATACATCTCAGTTAGTATATTTAAATTTAGGATCAAAATATACGACTTAGTACAAAACCAGAAGCGTTCTCAATCTTTGAATTCGTAATATAACATAGAAATATTCAAATCTATAAATATATCTATTCCATGGTAAACTAGCGCCATCTAACTGAAAACTTGACTCTTTAATAAAGAGGAAAGATTTCACGCAATATAACAAAACAACCTGCTTATAAAACATTTTGCTATACAGCCAGACTTAAAGATTTAAATATAGAAAGAACTATAAAATTTTAAATTTAGAACTGAGGGCTATAATAATGTGGATATGCTTCATTTTCGATTCATTATTAGAGGAGACTTTTAAATGATGGATTATGAAAAGTTCTTCGAAAGTGTTTTACACTGTTTCTAGGTGAGGTCATGACCTCATGCCTCTGTGAACAGGGGCCCTTCAATTTCGCTCATAGTGTATTTGGGTATGTTTACAGTGTGTAGGACGATGTTCACTAATTATATGTGTATATATACAGGACGTATTTCTTTATACAGAGTGTGTCCGTTATAAAATATAATATTTTACATTACTCAAAATTAACTTTCACTTAACAATGTATTGAAAACAGTTAAGAATTAATTTGAACAGAATATCTGTTCAAATTATTTGATGTATTCTAAAATGACAAATAAAATATGTTTCAAAAGAGACAAGGAAAAATAAAATTTCTGCTTGATAAAGTGACGCCCAGCTCTAAGGAACTTTCTTGCTAGTGTAAATATTTCTCTTAAGGAGTATTAAAATATTCTTTAAAAGAGAATGTAGATTATATTATTGCATTATAGGTGCAAAAACCCCAATAAATCATTGTTAATGTCACTAGAGTAACTGATCCAAGCCCCACTATCTTAAGTGGTCTGGTAACCCTTTACTTAAAGAAATTTAAAAAAAGGTCAACATGGTATTCGATCATAGAAAAAATTTCAAGCCCACTTAAACCTACTTTGAGGCCATAGACACAAGGTCGTAACAAAAACTAATTTGCGTCGTGTGCTAGTTGTCTCTTTAAACAAATTATTGACAATCAATGCATTTATCTCTTGTTCCAAATTGCATTTAAATGTTTATGCCCTAAATTTTATTTTTCCGCAGTTAGTTGCAAAGATTATCCTTTGTTTAAATTAACCAGGTTAATTGGACACCTATTTGGGTTAAACTATGACGGGTGCCAATACTTTTCCTAATGTGATTTATGACAGCTACGCGTCATCTTAGTATGTCATGTCTATGGTCTAGAAGCGATAACCAAATATTACAGAGAGAGAAATTAAGAACATGCATTTGTTTTTTTTTTAACTGTTATATTTAAAGTTTTCATAGTTACAGGCAGGTTAACAAGCTTAAATTCCATTTCATTTCATTGAAGGCCATTCATTAAACACTGGCTGGATAAAACTGTGTCTTATTCAATTTTTAATAGTAATTAAGAATAACAAAAATTAAACATTTCAATTCGAATTTCAAAATTATTAGTCCGTTCGCTTCTATACTCGAACGTTGTTACAATTTCCTAACAGTTACAACAATAGAATACATATAAGAATTGTAACAGTAACCTGCACGATTAAATGAAAACCAAACAATTACTAGGCAAGTCAAAGTGCAGCCGTGTCAATGACCCTTCGAAAACTGACACGTGGACTGATACGCCAGTATTAAAATGACGTAACTGAAAGTTTTATGTAGATGGTACGCAATGTAGTGTGTAATGTTTTTAAATTAACAATTCTTTTTTCAAATATGACAATTGTGTAATGTTGTGTGTTGTTGTCATTTAAAAAAAGGAACGCGTTTGATATCATCCAATCCGCCTCAACTTTTTTAAGTCTCAATTGTCATTACAGTTAAAATGTTCTAATGGAACAATTTGGGGTGGTCATCCGTTGAATTGGCCTCAGCCCGGTTCAAGGCCGTTGCCCGTTAATTTGATGATACACTCTCTTACGTGAGTCTTACACTATATTAGACTCAACTTTATTTTTAGTTTGAATGTTGCCAGAATTTCTATCCAACCGTCGAAACTAAATTCTGTTCTAAATTTGAAATACATTTCAGTTATGGGCTTTATTTAATTAAACTTAACTAAAAGTCATTGACATTCATAGTTTCAATCAAAGCGCCGAGTTAGAAGTGGTTGTGGCTGTAACCATTTTCTATTTCAATAATACGTCATCGTATGTATTTATATTTAACAGCCTTTAAACCACACTTGTATAAATACTGTGTATCAAATGTTAGACACATCAAACGTCACATTAAGGCGTAATTAATCCCAAGACAATTACATTCTAGCAAATTTAAGTTCTAATAAATATTCTGAATTCAGATAAAATAACAATGGGGATAAAAAGCCAAGGTCAAAACACTGGATTTAAATACATTCCTTGTTATTTAATGAAAAAAAAACAATTGTTAAAACATTTCAAATATAGAACGTACGCATGATGTCGTCGACCCATGATGGCATGTGACATATGCTGTCACTTTTATTTTAGGGCGCACGCGAATGTACGACTTTTATAACACGACCATGGTACAGTAGATGATGTTTTTTATCATCGTTCGGGTGTTTCTGCAACTGCAAGTAGAAACTTCTTACTCTATATATTTTAAATAATATTTAATCATATCTCTTTTATTTAAAAAATGTGAAATACCATTTTGGAACGGGACTGCGGTGGGCAATTTTAACAAAATTCAGAGGTTACCGGTAACTATTAACACTTGCAATACCAGTTGTGTGGCGTGAGCACCTTTCCAATATGTTTAAACACTTAACAGTCAGCTTTAAGGCAGAGTAGTTACCAATAATGTTAACTACTAAAGTTTTCTGTAAAATGGTACTAAATCTTTTTCATGAAAAAAAAAGAAAATGCTTAAAAACATCATTTTCTTTTTGTTCAGACAACATGAGCAATATTAATTAAGCGGAAAAGGCATGATTTGTGTATCGATTGTACAAAAAATAACAATAAGAAAATACTGAACATGAGTGCGAATGTACTTTTGTTTAATAAGTTTTTTTATATACATTTTAAATTATTCTTAAAGTTCTTGTGACTAGAGACAGACTTGTGACAGACAATACATTTCTTGATCACGTAATAGTATCGTATATGATAAGATTGACATTTAAAAACATATCTCCTAAATCATGGTGAATTGTAAAAAACTGTTTTGTTAGGTAGTATTTTCGTTTCGTTATAGCTTCATTAGGAATGGAAAAAGAATATCCGAAATCGGTTCATAATGACGAACTTAACAAACATAAATAAAATACAACCAACCTCTTTGTAGTTGAGTAAAAATGCACTAACACACAAAAAAGCAGGCTATCTTTAAAACGTTACTGGTTACTTGAATAAAAGTAATTGCTCAACCATATAGTTTCCAAGTAAATTACAAATATGATTCATTTCATTTGTAATTTATTATTTAGTCATCATTTTTTTTATAATTTAGTGTCGATGACCTGCCAACGGGTTAGAATGCACGTCAGTGTCTTGCGATAAAATGTTTCCGCCATCTTTATTTTGATTTTGACGTGTGTCATAATTATTTGACAGTCATGATTTCGGTTTCATCACGTTGTGAAATTTTGCTGACTCGAATTGTACGAGTTGTTAACCTCTGTCTTATACAATACAGGGGTTAACAACTTTGATTTTTTTTAGTAATATTATTGCACATTGTTTATTAAACATTAAATATTTCTGTGTGGTTTATTTATTTACTATGGTTAAGGAAAATACCATCAATGCAGTTATAGTTATTGTTTTCATGTAACAAGGCTCAGTGTTTGATAAATAAATAGTTATAATATACAAGATCATAAGGTTATCTATATGTCAATTAATTTAAATACAATAACGACTGAAAATAAAACTCTTTATTATGTTTATAAACATCTAAATAAGGAAGATACGTCAAAAGATTTATCTGAAGATATTTCGAAAGACTTCTCAGATCAAAGTATTAATCAGCGCTCTCAAGAAACTTTACAGTTATAAATTGATCTCAAGTACCAAACAATAACAAGAGGGCGCGAGGCCAAAATATATTTGACAATTATAACGGCCTCCGAAACCACATCCATTATAAGTTGATCTATTGCCCTAAACATATTACTATTTTGGGAGGATCACAGTAAAATGGAAAAGCCTAAATATAAATGAAGCACGCGATGTTCGAGGTCATTGGCCCGTGATGTCAGTCGCGTCACAAAACGTAGGTGATATGGATTACGGTAACGCGCTCGTCCGCGTTACGTGTATTATTTTGCGATACAATCTGTATTGCGGTTTACGTCTGACCGATATTCGGTCGTTGCCTTGACTTGATAAAAATGATTCATGGCCGCATACTTTTTCTTACGTAAAAGATTATGTTACGTATTTTTATACTTTATCGTTTTTATGTACTTGTTATGAAGTCTGTTTGTTTGATAAACTATTAACATTTTTTTAAAAGAACATGCAACTGATGGCCACAAGAATGCGTTGGTTTGTTGAAAAAGCGAGTTGAAAAACGAGGTAATGGAACATTTAGTCCAGACTA